GACAAAACATATGGTGGCGTATTATTCCACGTTCTGCAGAAGATTCATTCTAATTTTGCACATTTCGTGAGTAGTGCAGCCAAGCCCTAAGAGTCACGTGCAGAGACCAACAGGGCCTAGCTACGTGAGCAACCCATAACTGCTGAAACACAGACCTGAATTCGAATCTTAGAGTATATATTCGGCCAGCTCGTGCTCTACTTCATATTCACTGCCTGCCTCGATTTTGGTGGGGGGGTCTGAGGTACATGGCTTCAAGGACCCTTCAGATAGCCTGCATGGGCCGTCTTCTCGCCCCCCCTTGTATACACACACACCCTCTACCAAAAAAAAAAAAAAAAAAAAGAGTGCATCTGCACTGCATCACAGACACCCCCCCAACCCTGTCTCTTATACACATCTAGATGTGTATAAGAGACAGGTGGTGGAGCTGCGGGTGAAATTCCCTGAGGGGGTGGGTTGGAAGGATGACAAGGAGGCAAGGAAAGCAATACAGGTGGAGGCTCGGGCGACGAGCCTGACGGTTCGAGAAACAGGCCAAGGAGGCCAGGTGTTGTTTGAAGCCAATCCGCTGTTTAGCAAGATCTTAGCCGATGAGACTTCGTGGTACATCGAAGATGGGGCGGTGGTGATCGTCCTCCAGAAAGCCGAGGAGTTGTATTGGCCATCAATTCACCCGGAAGATGAGCCTCAGGATGATTCTCTCAAGAAGTCTTTGACAAGGTCAGGACCGCAAATCGGAGAAGGAGGAGGGGTAGATGGAGAAGATGGTCGCGGCGACGGATTGACTGGTCTGTCGGAACGTGCCAAGGTCAGTCGGCTACTTCAAGCGGCGAAATCAGGTGATCTGGCAGCGCTGCAGGCGGCCGCCGAGGCAATGGACGACGGCGGGGAAGGATTGGCTGTGGTGCTGAGAGAGACGAAGGATGGAAATGGGCGAGGGGCTCTCCACTTTGCTGCGCAGGAGGGGAGGTTGGAAGTTTGCCACTACTTGACAGAGGAGATAGGGATGGACATCGATGGGAGGGATGAGGAGGGAGAGACGGCACTCATCCATGCAGCGAGAGAGGGACACGTGGAGGTGTGTGAGTGGCTGCTAGAGCACGGCGCAGATGCCTGCGCTAGGAGCACGAAGAGCGGCGCGGGTGCCATTCACCATGCGGCGAGCGGCGGTCACGACCGCCTCATCAAGGCGCTGGTTGCGCGGGGAGAGAGCGCCAATGCCCCGTCAGAGGCCGGTCCACCGCTGATCTGGGCGGCGGAGCGCGGGGTGATCGCCTCTTTGCGCGCACTGCTGGAGCTGGGGGCGACGGTGGATGCGACGAACTCTCAGCTATGTTCCGCTGTCTTGGTCGCGACCGCCGCCGGTCATCTGGAAGCGGTCAGATTTCTGATAGATCATGGAGCTGACGTCACCATCAAAGCGTTGCAGGGTGCCACGTGTCTCCACGTGGCGGCGGACAGAGGGGACAGAGAGATGGTAGACACCCTTCTCTCTGCCGGAGCCGATCCCGACGCCGTCGACGAGAGCGGCAGCAAGCCGATCCACGTGGCTGCCGCCAATCGAGACGAGCCGATCGTCGAGGCACTCCTATCCAATACCAGTCGGGATCCCGACGTCGTTCCGTGGACGGTTGAAGAGGTGATCAAGAAGCAAAATATGTTGACGGACCTTTCAGAGAACGCCGGCGATAATGAGAAAACGAGCATGGGGAAGGAGGGAGGACGAGGGGGAGGAGGCGGAGGAGGGGAATTACACCAGCAACAGCAGCGGCAACAGCTGCCGCCGCCGCCGCCGCCGCGGCGCATCGACATGGATGAGAATGATCCCCGCGTGAAGCAATCTCTAGAGGCGAAGGCGAGAGGAGATATCGCTTTCAAGAAGGCCGATTACATGTCGGCCATTGATGCCTACACTCAATCTCTCGACTTGATTGATTATAACGCTGCGGTGTTGTCCAACAGGAGCTTATGCTGGATCCGCGTTGGACAAGCCGAACGAGCTCTGGAAGATGCGCAGGCTGCCCGCGCCGCCCGCCCAGACTGGCCCAAGGCTTGTTATCGCGAGGGTGCGGCATTGCGCCTGCTGGGCAGGCTAGACGAGGCGTGCACTGCCTTCTACGAGGGGGTACAACTCGATCCTGAGAATAAGGAATTGGTCACTGCATTCAGGGAGACCATGGAACATGCCAAAAGGCAACATTCTCTACCTGCACCCTCATCGTAGTTAGCGGATTTTAGGCATATAGGGGGGACGGAAGCAAGACGGAAGCAAGGAGGAGGTGGTTTTCATCCTTCTCTTTCGTGAGGGAGCCAATATACCCCATTTTGCAGGCGCTTAGTTCATACTCACACCTTTTTTTCTTTTTCTTTTTTTTGTCATACTCACAATAGGATTTTTCCGACTGAAACTGGCCGCAGATGCGGTCACGTACGTCTCCAAAGGTCATGATGCCGTAGGTGGGAAAGTGTGGTAGCGCACTGGGAGGCCAGGCTTTCTGTTCGTGGTGGGGGGGTGGGGGGGGGAGGGGGGCCCGGTGTGGGTGGGAAGGGAGGCCTGTAGATCCTTTGGGGGGGGCCTGTTCGATGTAGAAGATGAATGAAACCTGAGTTGTGGTAAAAGGGCGGCGCGTGATTGCTGTTGGGTGAGGGCCATAGATTTTGGCTTGAGTTGATTAGACATTGCATCTGGCAGTCAGCTATGGAACAAAAGGCTGATTAGAAATTAATTGCGTGGACTCTGCTGAGTAGATTTTGGCTGATGATGATGCCGTGGGGGCATATGCAGCAGGTGTGCAGTGGCCTTTTTTTTTCGGATGGTTTAAGCCCACAGTAGGGCTTTGATTGGGCGCCACAGCACCTGAATAGGATTATAGGTCGTGGGTAGGGTTGGGCTTAGGTAGAGAGATAGGGTAATGATAGCAGTATGGGAATGGGATAGGGTCATGTAGCCCCACCACCGAATCCCTGCTTCAGGATATGCCTGAAGGTGCCTGTTATAGGGTCACGTAGCCCCACCACCGAATCCCTGCTTCAGGCTATGCCTGAAGGTGCCTCTATGATGTTTAACAAGATGGAAGATTGGGCTTGTGTCGTAGGTCGTATTGTTGTGCACTAGTGTGCAGAAAAGGAGGTATGGTGGGGATTTTTTCGTCTGTGCGTGCGAAGTCTTCATCGTTGATTGGTTGATTGGCCTGAGATGAAGTTGAGTGGTTGATTGGTCTAGGATTGATTGGTTGATTGACCTAATAAATTAAATTAATCGATCGATTGAGCAATGGTGATCTTGTTCATCATCTTGTCATCATGTTCATTCTGCGGAATGAACATGAACAGAAAAGATTGATTGGTTTGTATCGCACAATACTACGGGACATAGAACATAGTTCTCTGATCATTTTTCTGTTCCCAAGTTTTTATCTTTCCCTCGATTTCCATTGTTGTTCAGGTGGTGGTTTTCGTTGTTGTTGTTGTTGTTGTTGTTGTTGTTGTTGTTGTGGGTTTGGTCATTATTGTTGTCTTGACTAAACGTGTGGAACAATGATACAATATTAATCCGGAGAATTTTTATATTTTTACGTTCCTCTCTCAAATTCTTTTTGCCTTTCACTACCTTCCGACCACCTTTCACTACCTTCCTACCATTACTCCTAAGACTATTTTACCGGGCAGTTCTATTTGACGATATATAGAGGGGACCCATGCATGCATAGGGCCTCGAGGTAAATCATGTTGCCCCCCACCCCGACAGTGGTAGTCAGAGATGGGGTGGGCGGCCGGTGGGGGTCCGGTTAACGGCTAATGCAAAGACCGAGCATTTTGCCAGTAGCTGCGCCTCCCTTTCTCATCGTCCCCCACACCTCATCAAGTAGCAGCAGAGGCTATGGCCAACACTCTCCCACACACCACACACAACCCACTCGCCCTTGCACTCACACCCGTGTTGGTCATAGAGCCCGCTAATACTGATCAGAGGTATCCAGAGGACCATCACAGTCCGTTGCCACTACGTGCGCCGCAGGCGGTCATGGGGCTCGAACCCACAATCTCCTCCTGAATGCCACTTGCGTGCCTAACCAACTGAACTACGCCGCTGGATAATCCGGAGAAACTGCTGTTGATGTTGATCTTGATGTTTTTCCAAGTTTTTAATGTTTTTGTTTCTTTTCACCACCACATCTTTGGAACTAAGAGTTTGGCCCAGACATCCAGGACACAATCAAGTGTTCTTCTTCTCTCTTTTTTTTTTTTTTCACCCACAGTAGTCGGCCTTCTGCAATCAAGATGAACCCCTCTGAAAACCCCACCCACCCTTCCTCTCATCTTTTTGCCCTGGCACAACCCCCCCCCCTTCCTCTCCCCTCTGTCCTACAATCAAGTGTTCTAAATGTTGTCCGCCCTGGTTGTCCAGGGGGTGGGCAACATAACTGGGCCGAATGAATGAAGAATAGGCTGGGGCCGGTATAAGTGTCTTCCCAGCGCTGGGGTATAGAGGCGTCCTTCCTCTACAGTCCAGGGCTTTTTGGGGCGGGGGGAGAGGGGGGGAAGTGGCCAGCAAGGTCTCAAAATTTCAAAAAAAATATTGACCCAATCTGGGCCGCTTTTTTATCGTCCCGATCAAATGGACGAGATCGCGCTTTGCGATTCGGAATTGTGTGCAGGGAACCCCCTCTGCCATGTGCGACTTCGGTGCGCAAGTCGACATTTTCAAACGTCGATGCAGCAGCAGCAGTCACAGGCCCATGCCCAGCCTCCTCTTCCTCCTCCTCCTCCTCCTGCCCCTCCCCAGGGTCCTGGACAGAAGTGCAACGGTTTCTGTGTCAGAAGCCACGTGCCACGTGGCCAATTCTTTTTTTTTTTTTTTTTTTGCCACGTGGCCAATTCCCAGTGGCATAAAATCAAATGTCTGTGATCCCGGACAACTGGGCGCCCTCTGGATCCCAGTCATTTGGGGGCTTACGTTTGGTACCATATTCGGTTTTCTTTTCGTTTTTTTTCCGGGGGGGTGAAGGGGTTGGGGGTGCGCTGGGAGGAGGTGGGGATTCACTGGGGAAGTCATTTGGGGAAAAACTGTTATTCCTCTCATTGTTGTTGAGCTTTGCTTTTTTTTTTTTTTTTTTTTCCCCCCCCTCATGTTATTGGAAATCCTAACCAAATGTGTGGAACAAAATGTTGACTGGCAGAAATAACAAGTTTGCAATACTCTGTGTTTCTGAGTCGGATTTGTTTTTTGTTTTTTTTTGGAGGGGGGTGTCGGATCTGGACATCTGGATCGGCACCGGAGCTGGACCATCTGCACTACGACCCGGACATCCGGATCATAACCATGCTCCAAAGCCCCCGTTTATTTGCCCATTTTTAACTCTTTTCATAGGAAAAATCTGTTAGAATAACGTGCGAATCTTGTAACATAAAACTCAAAAAATTCGAAATTCGTTTATTAACTGGGGTCCCATCTCCCCTTGAGGTCCCCTTCTTTTCCTTTTTTTTTTTTTTTTTTTTTTTTTTTTTAAAGACAAGCTCCATCTATTGGTGGGGAGGCCCCCTTCTTTTCCTTGATTATGCCTATTTGGGCTTTCAAAAATCAAGCGCATGATTTCAACTTCCGTTCCTGCAGGTTATGCAGATTCTTTTTTTTTTTCCCAGTCCATGGTGTTGTAGAGGCCAGTCACTGTGTGCACAGTGATCACCTGGAGCAACAGGCTTGTAGTTCTGTCGGTTTGTTCGCCTATCGTCCTCAAGACTCCTCACCTGAATAGAACACCTGCCCATTAATACTCGTTATACGGAACATATACCTGTATTTGGGGCAACTTCTTGTCTAGATACAGGGATAATGACCAGAAGTAGAGGTGTAGGGGGGTGGATTTGAAGATGATGCAAACTTGCTGCCGCTGACTGTTTTGAGTGAAGGCGCAGGGTGCGAGGCGGGGCTTGAGGCAAAAGTATCATCTGTTGTTGGCGGCTTGCCTGACGGGGTTTCCTGCCTGGTCCATAGACTCCATACCTGTATTCAGCCTTGACTTGATCAGCTGTCCAGCCGATTTCTGTCTCGCGGCTCTAGCTTGCAATGGGTTGTTTGAACATTCCGTGCCCAGCCAGCTACTGTGGGTAAGTGCTACAGGTATCGGCTGTGGTTCGACTGGTGATATTGATCATATAGTGGGTGCGTCGCTAGTCGGAGAGGCTTACCTTTCACTCAGGATTTGTGGAAATCCTCGCTCTTGATAGTGGACTGGATGCGTATCAGGGACGGGGGGTGTTTTTTTCCCATGCTGTGGATAGGTCCCCGCACAGCATTTGCCATGGCATGGAGACGATTGGGTGGCCATCACGAGCCGTTCGCCATGCCATGGAGACAACTGGGTGGCCATCACGAGCCGTTTGCCATGCCATTGAATGGCCATCACGAGGCGTTCGCCATGCCATGGAGACAATTAGGTGGCCATCATGCGCTATTTGCCATGCCATGAAGATGATTGGGTGGTCGTCATGAGCCATTCGCCATGCAATGGAGACAATCGGGTGACCATCACAAGCCGTTCGCAACGCCGCCTTAACGAGCCATTCGCCATGCCATGGAGACGACTGGGTTGGGTGGCCATCACGAGCCATTCGCGATGCCATGGAGAGTACTTTCATAACTTCTCGAGATGGAATTCTGGCAGCAACGGAGATATCTTGTCCTCTGAATTCGTAAAAGGGTGTATTATCCTGTCGCCCCTCTGCCAGCCGCAGATTTTCCCCTACGGGCTACCTTGTTACGACATCACCTCAGTCACTGATTCTACCATGATAGTCTCTATGATCGACGATGCGAAAAACATGCCGTGCGCATCGGTTGGAACGTTTAAATGCATTCTACTCATAAATCTTAAGTCTCCCATTAAGTGTACTCATGTTTATTAGAGAATCCTGTTCGTATCCAATGCGTACACCATGGTTACGCCGGGCCCGAACCCGGACACAGCGGGATGTTTGGCCGGACTGACGTCTGGAAAATTCTGGAAGTCTGGGAAAAAAAAGTCACAGAATGGTCACAAGCAGGGTTTGCATTGGGCCATTGGCATTATCCAACCTCTCTCTCTCTCTCTCTCTCTCTCTCTCTCTCTCTCTCTCTCTCTCTCTCTCTCTCTCTCTCTCTCACACACACACACACCCACACACACACAC